TTGTAGCAGAGTAGTTAGGACATAGGTTTGCATTCAGAAATTGATGTCAGGGAGTAAAAAGTTAAAGCCATCTGGGCAAATCTTATGAAGGTATGTCAAGGTTTAACATTTTGGAATAAGTCTTTGAAGTACTTTCTTTGAGAGAATCTCTTTGAAGTTTCTTCATTTGATATAGATTTTTAGACTAAGATGAACAAATTCTTAGTATTTAAATGGAAGTATGTAAAAGTGGTAGTAGTGAGGTTGTTCTTTTTCTATTTCCTTCATTGGATACGATTTAATTTTTAAATGCCTCATGATTAAACAAATTGTCTTACCAAGAAAAATCTGTAGATTGTTTGGGAGTTTATTTCTGCCAGTGGTTCCTTTGTACTAAAATGTCTTAAGTTTAAATAGAAAGGCTTCTGTGAAGTTCTTTGAATCTTCCCTATTCCATGGCAATAGCCTTGTGGTGTAATGTGCAGGTGTCACCAGTATTTGCAGTATGGGCTTATTTTCTGACCCTTGTTTAGTGAGACATCAACAATAGCACAGCTGCTCTGCAATAGTTGAGATCTCAAACCTGCAATTTGGCAAGAAGAACAGAGCAAATTGGGTAAATATACATAAACACATTGTGAAGAAAGAAAAACAGAACAGAATGAACCAGAGCCTTATCCTACAGCTTGTTTGATAGAGATGATTTAAGGAGGCATATGGTATAGTTAAATGTGCTTTCAAAAATGTTGGCCAGAATCTTCTGGCAAATATGAAATAAATATCTAAATTAGTTGAAACCGATAGTATTAGTTCTCTGAAGAGGCAGTGTGGAAAGACATTTGACAGTGTTTTGAGTAAGAAGTAGTGGGACATCAGTGAGTGTGAAAAATTTCAAGCATCTGATTCTGAAGGATCATTGAGATGATTGGTGTGTCAGAATTGGAGTTAGAGCCTGACTTGTTCGTAGAATCTTTTTATTTTCCTCAACATTATAATTTTTCAATATAATCCAATTTTTTCTGGATTAAAATTGATTAATTTTATTCCTCTTTCATGGTTGGACAGATTCCACCTTTAGCCTGGCTTCTCACATGAACCCTTTTTTTCAATGTACCTATGTATATATGTGTATGTTTATCTATACAATTCCTAATTTCATAATCTTATTAGCAGGTGATACAACCACAACTTTATTCTTTCTTCTGTTTCCTATAAGGAGACTTTATTTATTTATTTTTATCACGAATACCAGGACATTAGTTATATCTTTATTTTGAATACAAACATCAGAATCTCAGTGAGAAGGGTAAAGGCTGAGAACCCTCTCTGTTTCTCTATTTTTCTAATTGTATCCCCCCTCGCCCATGATGGAACATTTTCTTTCACATAGTGTATTGCTTTCTGATTATACTGGTAAATATGATAAGTTCACCTAATTTGCATTGCGTTTCTATTCTAAATATTATATTCATTTCTGGAAATTGTGTTTTAAGAGGAACAACAATTAATTTGAGCACATCTAGTTGTGGCCAATAAGTTGTTGCCAAGTACAGAAATAGAATGCAATTTAAAATTCTGAATGAGATATAATTTGAGTGTGACACATCAGCTCTCTTTAAACAATGAGTCTGTCATGTGAAAGGTAGATTTGACTTATTCTTTATTGCTACAAGGAAAGGAGAAAGAGTAGAAGGTAAATGGAGGCACATTTAAGCTCAGTATTAGGAAAATCTTTCTGAC